CATCTCAAAGTACAAGATACTTCGGAGTCACCTGATTTTATGAAAACTTACACGATACGCAGGAAAGCCTTTGATGTATTTTATCCATCAAATATCTTTACTGAATTCTATGAGTGGACTGGTGGGCTTGAGGATCGAAGCTCTGAGTTAAAGTTTGGAAAGTCTTAAATACGAAGCAACTTTCTTCTCTCTTCTGTGTTGAGATGTTTCCGTTAGGTCTGAGATCCTCTCTAACCTAGTCCACGGTCAAAGGTGGGTGGCCCATTAAGTGACCAACCAGGAACCGCCACGTCCCCCAGAGAGAGAGAGAGAGAGAGAGAGAGAGAAAGAGAGAGATGTAGCCCTCTCGGTTTCCTTCACCTCCATAAAGACTGGACGAGAGATGAAGCTAATCGGACAGCTGGGACGGGATTTCTAGAGTACGACACCACGGGTTTTCTCGCCCATCCCACCAGCCATGGGGAAAGGGCAGCCGGACTTCACAGTCAAGGTCTCTCCTTGTCAATGCCCACCATGGAGGAGCTCCCACCAGAGAGTAGATAGGTGGGAAAACAAGCTATAGATTGACTATTTTATGAATCAAATTGAAGTTACCTTCATTCTTTTAAGGCCGCCATATTGGACAAACTATGTTTATTACTTTCAACAAAGAGGATGCGTTTTGAGATAGAAGCTCAATTGAAAATGAAATAAAATAAAACTCCATTCAGACCATTTTCTTAACGAGGACTTGAGGGATAGTCAAATAACTGAAAAATCCATTCACATCCATCTTATGTATGGTTTAATCAATCACATAAATCTTTGGGGCTGCTTTTGTTCATAGATTACAGTCTAAAACCAAAGGCAATTTATTGGCTCTATGATAAACTCATACTTAAGAATTTTGAAGTTCTAAGGTAAGTAGTTTAATTGAAAAAGTTATAAGCTCTCATCATATGATATAAATATATCATTCTGTGAAACAGCTGAGGTTTCTCTTGACAAAGATAAAAATATTCTATGATTTTGATATTACAAAGATTATTATTGAGTGTGCTTATTTTTACTTCAATGCTGAAATGGCAGAGAAACTTGGAATGATTTACAGTACATGCCAATGTGAAGTGGCACAATGTCATTCATCAGGATCCATGGTCTTAACAATAAACAACATTTTCCAGTCTTGTATAAAGAAGAGAGAGAGAAAAGAGATTTGGTCACACAAAACTCTCATCATGCTCCACCTCGAAATTGCTCATACAATAATGATTGGGACATGCGGCTACATGAAACACAATATAAGCATTCACTTATTAGCCATTTAAATGGGTGATACTTTTGTCATTTTATACTTAGATTATTTTATTTTAATTTTTTTAAAAAAATACTTGACATGTATATTTATAGTCCTAGACAAGGCATATATTAAATATTTTATGGAGATTGTACTTTCCTTCGAAGGGCTCATGATAAAATTGTATCACCCGTAGTGTGTTTCTTACTATTGGAGTTGGAGGAGGTGAGATGGGTATCAATCCCCTCCCCCTGCTAGAGGCTTGGGTGGAGACACGAGGGAATTGGTGGCGGGGAAGCATGTTGGGATGGAGGACACAAAAGGGGAATAGGCGAATATTAAAATTAGTGCTTACGACTGTGTTTCTTTTACTCCTCTTTTGTTGCAACGCTCTTTAACACAAATTGTAAAGAAATATGAGATCATTGGTCTGGAGTATAAGAATGACATGATGTGATGTGGAGTTGCATAATATACGAATATCAAGGTATTACAAGCCTAAACTTATCTTCACTCAGGTCTTGGGTTCTCATGATGCATGAGTTAAACAAAACACTTTCAAGTGGTTTTTAAAATGTTATAATATTAATTTATGCTAATGGGAAATGAGACTACAAATAGTTCATCATAGTGTTTAATATCACTCAGAGTTAGCTCATCAAGAAAGGAGACTTGCCCAACCTCAACTCTCACTTTGCTCTCTCTCTCTCTCTCTCTCTCTCTCTCTGAACAATTCACTTGCTCATTCACATCCAATTATTGGCTATTCAAAAACGACAATATATATATATTTTATTCTAATGCTTATTCACTAGTAAATATTTTAAGTATTGTTCGGTGTCCTATAATTTATTTTAACGATAGAGACAACTGCTTTCCTCTAAAGGGCTCATAACCAATGAGTGGTAGCATCTATAGGGGGGTCTACAGATTTTGGGTTAAAGGAGGTGAGGAAGGGTACATATCCCCTCCCCTTACTATATGCATGAATGGGGACTTGGTGGTGGGGAAGGGTGCTGTCACAGGGGGGACACAATAGGGGAACATGTGAGGTATCCTTTGCAAAAGACTGAGATCCCACCACACCTTGTCATGGTAGACTCTTGTCGCCATCCTTTGTTGACAATAATGAGTGTACTCTACTCTATAAATGGCCTCTAACGTGATATCCTACTAAACATAAATGGAAAATTTTATGACAACTCATGTGGGGTAGCATGGTTGAATATTTAAGGATGAATGATTTTTATAATGAGTACTGTATCCTTTGTTGCTTTAGTTGAGATGTGGGTATCCAAAGTGGTAATTTGCACGGGTTTTGGTTTTATTAAGTGGGTATATTCTATGATGTAAATATGGTGATATTTGAATAATATTGAGGTATTTATATTCATAGCTTAGGACTGCAATTGAGGTACTTTATGATTTAGTATGATTAATTTTTAAATATAATTATGAGGTCTTGTAAAAAAAAAATCAAAGAAAATTAGAAGAACAAGAAGGGTAAGACGGATGCGAGTGACATGCATCCATTAAAAGCGGTATGTTCCGAAACCAAACGTCGTTATCTTGTTCTTTTTTGACTAGAATCGAATGCCTAGCCTACGTTTGTACAGTTTTTTGTAATTGACACGGACAAGATGCCGTCGGAGAGAGAGGGGGGAGCGGGTGGAGGGAGGGAGAGTTTGTGTGAGAGAACGAGACACACAGAGGGATCAATTCTGTGTAAGCCAGAGAGAGCGAAGAGGTATCGATTGTGTGGATGAGAGACAGAGAGAGGGAGGATTCGAATATGTGTGGGAGAGAGAGAGAGAGAGAGAGAGGGAGGTAGAGGATGGAATGGTTGTGGATTGAGTGAGGGAGAGGATTGTGTATGTGAGAGAGAGGGGAAAAAGAGGGGAGAGACGGAGAGGAAGGGGCAGGAAGGGAAGATACGTTAGAGATTGAATGGTGATGGAGTGTGCATTTAACACGAGAGAGATGGAACAGAGGGAGGGAGGGGGGGAGGGAGAGAGGCTTGAGTGAATGAGAGAGAAAGGGAGACTGCAAGATTCTCTTACAGTCATGCACCCAATTTCTTCAGTATGTCTGAGATACAGGAATGTGCAATAATGAGACGAGAACAGTCGGAAGCACATGCTCCATCCCTCTTTCCATGGTTCACGCGGAGGCGGATACCATTGTATATAAGCCACTTGTCTCTCCTGTGATTTTCGGCAAATCTTTCTATATAGCCAAATTAGAGACACCGAGAGACAGTCGGGAGAGAAGGGGAGAAAGAGAGAGAGCGAGAGAGAGAGAGAGAGAGAGAGAGAGAGAGAGAGAGAGAGAGAGAGAGAGAGAGAGAAGAGAGAGAGAGAGAGAAAGAGAGAGAGAGAGAGAGAGAGAGAGAGAGAGAGAGAGAGAGAGAGAGAGAGAGAGAGAGAGAGAGAGAGAGAGAGAGAGAGAGAGAGAGAGAGAGAGAGAGAGAGAGAGAGAGAGAGAGAGAGAGAGAGTTTTCTGCTTTGCTTGCGCGCAACAATCTCTTAGACCAGCACCAAGAGCGGAGAGGGCAGACCGCATCCGCCGCCGAGGTCTAGAAGACAACTAACTAAAGTTGTTTCTTCTCCAAACAGGAGTTCAACACGACAGGAAAACTTTGACATTGCTTCTCCCCTGCCAGCAGCAGGCTGTGGTCTCCGTCCACGTGCTAGAGAGATAGAGATATGGACATATACACAGAGAGAGACAGAGATATAGATAGATAGATAGATAGATAGATAGAGAGAGAGAGAGAGAGAGAGAGAGAGAGAGAGAGAGAGAGAGAGAGAGAGAGAGAGAGAGAAAGAGAGCGGGGGTATGACTAGTCGATTGATGGGTTTGTCACATAAGAGTGAAAGTTCCTCTATGTTTCAACGCGGAGGTCAGGGACCGGAGCAGGCCCCGACAGACCTTCCCTCCCTACTTGGGTGTTTTTTCTTACTTCAGCGCCAATCAAACTGCAGCCCACCTCCCCGCCGCCGCCTCCCCTCGCCGTAGGGGCGGCAGAATTTCTAGGTGGCGCGGGCCCGCCGTGCACATGCGGGCATCCCTCCGCCGGTGGCGGCCCCCCATGTCTCCCACTCGACAGCGCACCAGCAGCGGTTGGGGGAGAACTCCTGTAGGGCTTCCTTCCTTCTCCGAGAGGTCCTCCGGCGACCGGCGCCGCCGTCATCTCGCTGTCAGAGAGATCCGCCGGATCCGGGGCCTAGCATCTGACCCACCGCCGGGCCCAGCGGGCGGGGGGCGGCGGCCGGAGCCGACGGGGATCAGGGTGGTCAGACGTTCTAAAAAGGTCTTGGGGTGTTCGGCGAGAACTCACAAAAGTAGAGATGCGTGTGGCTAATTACAGCCCCCTTCTTCCTTCTCCCCTCCCTCTCTCTCTCTCTCTCTCTCTCTCTCTCTCTCTTATTAGTGCAGCCAGTCATCCCACGGATTCTCTTCTCTCCTCACAGGCTAGTCGTCTGCTGACCGCCTTCACCCCCACCTTCCCACCTTCCCAACCAGGACACCACACACCTCTCTACCTCCCTATCTCTCTCTCTCTCTGTCTCTATCCTCTCCTCTATATATACAGTATGCCGTGAATGCTAGGGGTAATAAGGTGGCTCTCTCGCCCTCTCTCTCACTCGGCCTATTCAAACACCTCTGCCGTTCAGCCCCAGAGGAACGGACACCTCTCTCACTCACTCATTCTTCCGCCGCCATGAAGACGCCGCCACCTTTCTTCAGCCTCCTAAAGCTCGCCACCGCGTTGCTTCTCGGCAGCCTCGCCATGCACACCACGGACTCCGACGACGTCACCTTCTCCCTGCGGGACTCCCTCACCTTCCACGACCTCCTCGACGCTGGCAGAGACTTCGGCCACCGGTACCGCCTCCCGCCTGCGGCCGTCTTCCACCCCAAATCGCCCTCCGACGTCGCCGCCGCCGTGGGGCACATTTTCCGCATGGGCCGCCGCTCGGAGCTCACCGTCGCCGCCAGGGGTCGGGGCCACTCCCTCCATGGCCAGGCGCAGGCTCCCGGAGGCATCGTCATCCAGATGGGCTCCCTCAAGTCCACCCTCACGCGGGTCCACGCCGGCGCCGGCAAAGTCCCCTACGCTGACGTCGCCGGCGGCGAGCTCTGGATAAACCTTCTCAGGGAGACGCTCAAGCATGGGCTTGCTCCTCGCTCCTGGACCGACTACCTACACCTCACCGTCGGCGGGACGCTCTCCAACGCCGGCGTGAGCGGCCAGGCATTCCGCCACGGTCCACAGATCAGCAACGTTCGCCAGCTCGAAGTCGTCACCGGTGGGCACTCTCACAGCCGCTTCCTTCCTTGTTGTCATCTTCATCTTCTTCTTCTTCAAGTGTTTCTTCTTCCTCCGCGGGCGAGCTCACGGAGCGGCTCTCTGGTTGCAGGGCGAGGGGAGCTGCTCAACTGCTCCGAGAAGGAGAACCCCGACCTCTTCCACGCTGCCCTCGGCGGGCTCGGCCAGTTCGGGATCATCACCCGCGCCCAGATCGTCCTCGAGCCCGCGCCGAAAATGGTAAATAGCCGATCGTACATCATCCATCGACCTTTCTTAGAGCATTATCGGCAGACCAACTAAAAAAAACAAAAAGAAACCCTTTATGGACCATAAATAGTTTGCATAAACGTTGAAGGACGTAAGCAGGTTGAAAACCTCGTATTTAGACATGAAATCTTCTACCAACTAAATCAAGACCGAAGATAAAACCTATGCTTTCGTTGGTTCTTGAGCACTTTAGTGCGCATAGATTCTCGTGTATCATCATGGAATATTCTCCGCTACCTACACTATTTGAATGTAGACATACACTGTGTCCTATTTATAGCATGATGATGCTTTATTTTCTATTATATTTTTATAGAAGAAATTCTTAAAGACGGTGTTAAAACCATCATAATAATTAGCTACATTTTTGAGAAATAAAATAATTAAATATGTGAACTCGCCCATACCATACCATGCCATCCCATGCCATCCCATGCCATCCCATGCCATGATGATATAGTTAACGTTTGACTTACATTTTGTCGACTCCATGAAAGGCTGCATGTTGAGGGAAGACGAGTTCTTCGTGTAGGTGAGGTGGATTAGGGTTCTGTACGAGGACTTCGCGGCCTTCACTGAAGACCAGGAGATGCTGATCTCGGCGGAGAAGACGTTCGACTACGTCGAGGGGTTCGTGATGGTCAACCGCACCGGCATCCTCAACAACTGGCGGTCCTCCTTTTACCCTCAAGATCCCCTCCGCGCCGCCCAGTTTGACTACGACGGGAAGACCCTCTTCTGCCTGGAGATGGCCAAGAACTTCAACCCCACCGCCGCCCAGCTCGCCCACCAGGTAAACTAAACCAACCCCCCCCAACCCCCCCCCAACCCCCCCCAAACTGCCGCCGCCGTTGACTGAGTTTTTCTCCGACGATCACGCAGGAGGTGGAGGAGCTGCTCTCCAGGCTCCGGCACGTGCGCTCAACAGTGTTCCAGACGGAGGTGACGTACGTGGAGTTTCTTGATAGAGTCCATGCTTCAGCGGAGAAGCTGAGGTCAAAGGGCCTGTGGGAGGTCCCCCATCCATGGCTGAACCTCTTCGTGCCGGCGAGCAGGATCGTTGACTTCGCCGGGGAAGTATTTGGCAAAATCGTCAAAGACAGCAGCAGCGGGCCCATCCTCCTCTACCCGCTGCGCCGGTCAAAGTGGGACAACCGAACATCGGCGGTCATCCCCGACGAGGAGATCTTCTACCTGGTGGGCTTCCTCCACTCGGCGCCGCCGGCGGACGGCGGCGCCGGCAACCTCCGGCGAGCGCTGGCGCAGAACGAGAGGATCCTGAGCTTCTGCCGCAGCGCCGGCATCAAGGCCAAGCAATACCTCCCCCATTACACCATCTCGTCGGAGTGGATGACCCACTTCGGCCTCCGGTGGGAGACCGTCGTCCGTAGGAAGATGGCCTACGACCCCATGGCCATTCTTGCTCCTGGTCAGAGGATTTTCCAAAAAGGGTTGTCTTTGTCGTAACACCCACACCCCATCTTCTACGTACATAGCTCGCATGCACATAAACTGTGTACATGTATTATGTGCCTATGTATATACACATATCTATGCACAAGCATGAATGTGTGGATGGGTAGACCATGGAACAAATTGTAAATGGAGTTGACTGGGCAATTAATGAAATAGATGAAGGATTATCAAACAAGATCTGAGAGAAAAGCCACGAATTATTCGAGAAGAAAGGAAATGATAATAATATGGTGCAACTTCGTCACTACCCACCCCCTATGCGGGTCCCTAATTAATGGGTTTGTACCAGGCTACTAAGAAGAGGAAAAGACTCATGGGCTTTTGATTGAGATTAATAACCAGTTAAATTCGCTCAGGATGATGCTAAGACTTGCTCCACTCTCTTGACGACAACACAACATTAACTTTTCCTAATAAATTATTGACTCTAAGAAAGGATCATGTTTGTTCAACTCATGATTCATGATTCTCATGGCAACTTGCTGCCCTGCCCACTGAGGATAGATACAAAGCGGTTAACAACATAATAATTTAACTTTGAAGATTTTATAAGTATACTTCCTATAGTGAGGTCAACGAAAACTTTTTGATAATTATGGGGTCAAAAGGTAGTAGTCTTCTGAGTATGAGACTAAACCATTTAATATGAGACTAATTATTATTAGATCTTTGAGCCTATAATCACATGGCGTTTCTACAAAGTCCTAATAAATTTAAAATACTGTACTTTTTTATCATATTCTTACTCTGCTATTAATTCGCTAAGCAACATATGAGTCAACCCCTCAAGTCAATTCATATTTCTTGACTTGTAAGGAACAGTCATACAACATATATTTGATTCAGGTTTTCTATTAGGTTTATTTTCCAAATACGAGGACCAAAACAATCTCACCACGAAAATACTAAAAGACTGATAATATTTTGATATTATTGACCCAGAAGTCAACACCTTATCAGATTTAGGATCTAGGTTTTTGGGAAACTTATTGAGCCTCAATATGAGAAGATAAATAAACGCATGGGAACCCATATTTGAGTAGTAAATCTTGGGTCTGAGGTCAGAGATGCTATCTTAGAAAGAAAGATTTTTAGATCAAATACTTAGCCCACAAAAAAGGGAAATATTTCTAAACCTAACGTGGAAAGAGTGGGAACGTTGACAACTCATTACCAGATTTGGTGTTCAGGACTGAGGATTTTATAGTGACAACTATATTATCACATTTTTCGCTATATTTGTGCAAGGAACCTACGATACCATCACAGGACTTCTGGCATTACACAAGGCACATGCTCCCGTTTTCTAAGTAACGAAGATCAAAACTCACCCTAATCTACTGCGCACAAATTAACCAGAAACGCTCCCACAGGAGAAAACTTGATCACTTGGGTTCTTCCCAGCCAAGGCCCGCCCTGGAGATCTCTGTTGGGAGGCCTTCAAATTCACGGGCATTGCGAAGAACTGATTCATAATCCGAGGAATCAATTGCAGCCGGGAGGAAGCCCGTGATATCATCCATAGCTCCAAGACCGTCTGATTGCTTGATCTGATCTACTGTAATGGGCGCCTCCATGTCAATGTCCAAGTGGCAACCCTCTTTCTGTGGGCTAATCTCTATCTCCATAGATTCTTGGAATACTTCACCGCGTGAGGTTTGCACTTCCCTTTGGGCAATCTCGGGTTTTGAAGCTTCCACAGGGACTTGGTCTTTCTCCATGATCTGATTTCGCCGAAAACCCAATATTTAACGGTTCCATAAAATCAATCATATATCTGCAATGCTAAAAATAATAGGATAATGGTAACATAATCAATCGCTTGGATGATCGCCAATCCAAAATGGTTCTAATTATTCGATAGCTAAATAAATACAACAGGCATGCACCTGTATTCAAGCTCTTCATTAATGAGAGGGAGATAGGCTCTGGATAGATAAGAAGACTGGGCGAAGAATTAATGGGAAATAATTTCAACGTGGAATGCAGCCAATTTGGAGTAAACAAGGGCGAAATAAACTCATTGGAGTATAATTAGGATCACAATCAAATTATTGAAATCAAGCAGTTCAAATAACGAGCTAGAATTTAATCACCTAAAGAACTAGTCTAGTAGGCACTCAAATAAAAAAAAAAAGAAAAAAAAACCCATTCTCTGAATCAATATCCAGATATAAATAAACCTTGCTTTGTAATTTCCTTGCCCAGGAAACTTTGAACGGATTAGTCTTAGAAGAATTGGTAAAGAGTGAATGGGTAGGCGTGTTTTCTTGCAGGAGGCTAGGATGGTAGCCAGCTACGTCAGAAAAAAGGCAAGAACTGTGAAGAAGACACAGGAAAGAACATCGGAAAGAAAGCAGATTGCCAGAAAATCATGCCGTCAGATATCAAAACCAGGCCTCCCTCACATGAAAGGTTTCTGAAATGAAGACACTTGCAGACATGGATTAGGAACCAGAACAAAGGAGAATTCACTGGATCACCAAAAATGGAAGAAAGGCTGATCAGGAATTCTCATCTAAACCAGTAACTGCGAAGGTAATACTTTTCATTATTTTTCATATAAGAGGATCATCTAAACCTCTCAAAACAATTTTTTTTTCGAAATATCCGAGATTTAGAGATAGCGAGCCTTGGTTTTTGTTAATCAACTAAAAACCCATACACTCATCCATAAAAAAAAAACGCGCACATGAGTCTAGAAATGTATGCTTTTCTTTCGAGAATATAAAATGAAAAACCCCGCTGTAAACATTCCTAATTTACTGGGATAGTAGCATACAGATCTACAAGAACACAAAACAGATCTACTGGGATATTAGAATGACAAACAGTGATTGCATCCTCCAAGAGGACGGGAAAAAAAATTATCACTCCACCATAGAACTGAAATTCTCTAATTAAGGGAAAATTATATCTCGGTTCATAGCATTTGGTAGCCGATTAATCCAAAACTTCCGACTAATTCTTGTCAGAGGCTCCATCACATGAATGTTCATTTTAACCGTGTAATATCTACATCTTTATAAGTATCTAAAAAAAAAAAAAAAACCTCAAGACCCATCAAAGCGTTGGACAAAACCCTAGACCCTAACGAGAAGTACCTTCTCCACCCTCACAAAAACTCAAAACGAAAAAGAAGGGAAGTTCCGAGAGCAACTGAGACTGGACGACCCGCCGCAACACAACCTTTAATTTCCCCAATTCGAATCATCCAGGATGACCTCGTTTCTCTGCCACGCATGATAAGATACATGGAAAAGTAGGCAGCATTGGGAAAACAAATCGCTCGATCACAGACGACGAAAATAAATTAAAGCAGCAAAAAATGTTATTCAGGAGATAGGAAGCACAACTCGAAAGTCTCAGCTGCGGGAGAATAGAGGGCTCGAATCGTGCCTGAAACTGGTGACTTCACGAGCTCGAGCAGCTTCGCCGGGGAGAAGAAGTGGACCTTTCGAGAGGGGAGATGCTGAGCGAGTTCAGATGCGGAGGTGGCCGCAGGAGGAAAGATGGCTCTTTTCGCGCCGACTAACCGCGAGACCGGCCCGGGCCCGATTTGAGAGCCCGAACCTTGCAAAATGGGCTTTGGAAGCTAAACGAAAATCTACCGCATTTCCCTCTAAATACAATATGCCTATAAAATGTGAATCACGTGGCTTATTTTCTGGGGGATTTATGTATATTTATTTTAGGAATATTTCAATGCCTTCAAATATTTCATAATTTAATACCCATATTATTTGTGCCTTGTTCTTCTATTGTTAGTGGCGCATACATTTTAAAAATCTATTTTCCACGATAATTTATTTATTTATGGATTTATTATTATTTTTTTACCATGTGATGATTCAGAAAAAAACTCAAATACTAAATTTATAGTTGCATTTTAAATTCTTTTCTATGATTTACCTTATTTAATGCCTTTGATTTTATAATTTAATACCCAAATTATATGACCCTTGTTCTTCTATTGTTAGTTGCACATACATTTTAAAAGTCTATTGTCTATGATATTTTTGATCATTTTTTATTTATTGTATACCGGGTCAACGTGTGATTCAGAAAAAATCTCAAATAATAAATATATAATTTTTTCAGTTTTGTTAATTCTCAAATCATCCCTCACTTATTCTTCATTGTTGGTTGCGCATCATTTTCAAAATGTATTTTATAAAAGCATATTTATTTTTAATTTATTATATATTCTGCTAAAATGTGATAATTTTAAAAAAACTCAAATAGTTCCACTGATAATGATCATTATCTTCAATGAAAAATCATCATTAATTTACCATAGTAAGTTTGAGATCGATGGTAATTGATTTGACCTTAGAAGGTGGGGGATTCGACATAATGATCTAGTGTTGGTTGAGAGAGAATATGGGGCTAAGTACATAATATATAAAAAATAATGAAGGAAATAAATTATTTATTTTTTAATATTAGGGTTGTGGGGCTAACCTAATTAATATATATATTTTTATTTAGCTCAGAGTTATGACAATGGGTCCCCTATGTGGACTCATGACTAGCGTGTTGTGTGTAGAGAGAAAGAGAGAGAGAGAGAGAAAGAGATGGCTTTATCAACCCCGGCGCATTTTAGCAGCCACGCAATTGAGACCGTTGTGGTAGAACGTTTGAAGTTGCTTTTTTTCAAGAAAATACCTCTATCTAGAAATAATATTCTTTTCACCCTTGATTTGGCTTTAATAAGTTTTGGCTACCATCACTGAGGGCGGTCCATTGTCCGTGACTGAGTTTTTATGAAATTATATAATAATACAGGGTTTATTTAGACATTTGATCAAAAGTATAAGTTTCCACCACTTCACTTTAAATTTCTGGGCAAAGTCGCCAACTTTACCCGCCCAACCGGCGGGGATTTGTATTGGCGCCACTTCGGAGCTCGGAAAACCTAGAAAAGCCCGGTGCCGGTGCGGGAGCAGCTCCGGTGACGAGGCCCCGCCTGCGCCGGGAGCAGAGGGCGGTCGCTGGCATGGCGATCCCCAGGTGCCTATTTCTCGCGGGTTCCTCCTTGTCGCCTCTCCGGGCGGGATTTCGCTGCTGCGCTGGCTGGAGATCCCCATGGTTGTCAGTCCGTCCCCGTGCGATCACTCAGGTTGGTGGTCTATCGGCTCCCCCGTGTTTTTCTGTGAGATTATGGCTGCTAGCCCGCAGAAGGTACTATGCGGGTGTTTACCAGTAGGCAACATGCCTACTGTTCTTATATCGTGTCTCATGGAGTGGTATGATGTGCTAGGCAGGTTGCTCTTGCAACCGCACGGAGATTTTTTTTTCTTTTTTTTTTCCTTTTCTTTCTTCCCACTGTTTCTTGCTGCGCGGTCATTTCTGAGAAGATCTGCGGAGGGGTCGATGAAATATGAAAGATTGCTGCACATCAATAGCATTGTTTGATATTGAAAAGGAATGTCGAAGCGTGAAGGTTATCCGTAACTCTAGGTAAGTCGGAACCCAATCGTCTAAAGTTCTCATACTAGTTAAATAAATATCAATGTGAATTTCGGAAAGAGGAGAAAAAATAGAAAGAGAAAATAGGAGATTCGATAAATCATTGTATTGGAAGAAAAGTTTCTTGAAGTGTTTGAGGCCGGAATAAAGAGGAATGCAATAACTCATAGAAAGTGTTTGAGGCCGGATAATAACTATCCGCTGATGTGATTATCCTAGACATCATGTCATAGTTTCAGATGCTTTTGGCAAGGCCTTGTCTAAAGATATAAACTGAGGCAATTAAAAATGAGAGAGGAAAAGAGCTGAGACCATGGTAAAGAGATGAGAAGAGATCTAACTGCTAACTATACTGCTATTATCTGTCATGCTATCAGGAAACAGTAATAGTCCTTACCAAAAGTTTGCTGGTCTTCTCCCCTTTTTGGTCCTTTACTTTGACACCTAGTTTTTTGTGGCCTTCTTATCTTTCAACAGGCAGTATCTGGTGCTTGGCGTACATGATCCTTATCAGCTATCGTCTCATTTTATTTTCCTACTAGTTTGAACACCTTATTTCATTTTTTTATTACACAATGCTTAAATGAGAATCCTTATCACGGAAAACATGGTTTTCCTTTATTTGATTTCGTTTTCTGTTCTCTTTGGTGTTTCTAGTTAGGAGCAAGAGGTGGTTTTGATTTCATTGCTCAACACCATCGTTGTCTTTCATCCACAGGTATGAAATCCGTCTATTCTTGTTTGACTCCTGGTTTTCCCAGTATTTAGTTTGCTGCTATGAAACGCACCTTTTCTGGGGAATGCGGTTTTCGAGAGTTGATTTCCACTTACATTTTTATATTTCCCATTGTTGCATATTTGTTGATTGTGGTTGACCTTGGTGCTTGCCAGGGTGCACGCTACTGCCAATGTTATCTCGTTTCCTGTGTCCACTTTGTAAACTTCCATCAGAACCTCTATACTTTGGGACTTCCTTATGCTCCACTTCGGAAGGTTCAGTTCATAAGAGTTTCATCATCATCGGTATCTGATGTCTGATAGACGTCTTATTCTAATCATTTGCTTGTCATAGACAAAAACAATCGTAAGATTTGTTACTTTCTCATCATTCTTCATCTGTGTATCTTCAGAGAAAACCTATGGGCTTTTGTAAAATATTTATTTTCCTTTGGCACTGGCTTCATTTTACAGATGAAACCTTCTTTTTCACTTCTGTATGATCCAGTTTTTCTTAAAAATAATAACAATGCATCGGTATCCCATGCTCTAATAAAACGTTCAAATTGAGTGATAACGATTCCTGATGCATTTATTGATTTGGGAGAAGTTTATGTTTTAGGAGAGCAAACATGTTGTGTTGTCCTATTTTTTTCTGGAGGGACCTTTATGAAAGATGGAGCCTCCAAGGGCTTCAAGTTTCTGGGCTACTGCAGAAAGAACTATTTCAGATAGGTTCCCTGTGCATCCTGCTACTAATAATCTTCATCCTTCTGACTTTTACTCGAATTCACTAATCATGTTACTGCTATCTTAACTTATATGTGTGCATAGAATCAAAATGTTTACTTTATGCCACATGTTGTGAACAGTGGGACAAAACTTAGGAGGTTATGTGGAGGAAAAACTCAACCCGTATTCACATCATAGATGACTGTTATATACAAGTACCAGGGCCACAAAACAAGGAAGCTACCTAACAACTAGGAAAGGGAGAAATTAGGAATTGGCCCAGCTAAGAACCGAATTCCTAATTACACGTTCTTTCCCACACCAGAAAATCCTTCAATCTTTCTGTTAAAATTGTCATAGACCACATCAGCAATTTCATAATCTCAGATAAGTGATTTTTATAGATCTTTGCTGGTTCTGCCAAGACAATGCTAACTTTAAAAGTTTAATTTTGGCAGCATCTTTCCATTTACGTAATTAGATTTTTGACATCTGCAGATTCCCTGGTCTTCTGTCTCCTCAAACTCTGATGCCATTCATGTCCAGGCTTGGCTTTTCTGTCTTCATTTATTTAAATCCATTGATTACTTTCGCGTCCATCTTCACTATCTCATGAAGTTGACAATGGTTCTGGCGCTGCTTGACAACTCTCTCAGCCTTTGCATAGAACCCATGAGTTTTCATTGGCAAGGTACGCATAGATCAAAGCACCTCCCTTTCTGTCTCCTTTGCTTTGCTCTCTCTCTCTCTCTCTCTCTCTCTCTCTCTCTATCTATCTATTCTTCTCTCCACCCTCTCCCTCTAAAGTCCTCTCTCTTCTCTTTCTTCTTTTCACCTTTTTTCCCATTCTGCATTTCTCTATTCTCGATCTATCTCTACTTAAGATTGTCTCCCGCCTCCCCACGTTCATCTTTTTCTTTCTTCATATATCCTCCCTGTCCTCATACCTCCTTTTCTCTTTGTCCCTGAGTTTTCTGCGGAGGAATTTTTATCTTTCCTCTCCCTCTCTCTCTCTCTGTCTCTCTCTCGATCTTTGAATCTCTTATTTTGCCATGAAGAGGCAGTCGGTGGCCTAGTTTTGTTAGAATGTCGTGGGTAATGTCTCCCTCATTTTTCAAGGTTCATGCTGCACAGTTAGCGTGTTTGTCTCCTCATCTCGAAATAAGCTTCGAAGTGTGAGGTAGATCTTGCATGTTTTGAGTTTCAGCAGAAGATACATTTCTCTCTGGTCCCATTTCTTGGAAACTGCAGTCTGATTTGTCAGGCAAGTTTAATCCCTCATTGATGTTGTTATGGAGGGTCAGTTGCTTTCAATAATGTATGTTGTGACTGCGTTGTGATTCCTATTATCAACTCTTAGTAATTATTCTCTTTCTTTTCATAGTGATGAAACGAGGAATGACTCTACATGAAATGAAGCCAATAACGAAAGTTACATTAATCATGCGATTTTGACGTTTCTCTTTGTTTAACAAATTCAGTTTTGCAGAAAAGCTATCAAAATCAGGCTGCAGTTCTAGATGAATTGTTATCTAATTATCTACACAATGGAATTCTCATGATAACTTTGTTTACCTTCACACCATTACATACCAATTTATTGAATTTTTTCTGATTATGAATTTCCTTGATTTTGAAGTCGAAAGTGTACTGGATTGTGAAACGGAACAACTTTATGATGATGGAAAGTTGGCAGAAAAAAAAGCTGCTCTTCAGTTGGCTCTATCTCAGCTTGCGGGAGATTTTGATCGAGAATCCATGTTATCATTGCGTCGTTTCTTTGTTTCACGTTACACTCCAGTGATATCAACAGGCTCTTTGAAGCTTGATCAGGCTCTAGGAATTGGAGGCCTACCAAAGGTTGGTACATTCAATATCACCACGACTTTCAACATCTACCCCTATTATTGCATCATTTGTAATTTGCCCCTCTCTGTTAGTCATTTCAAGTTTCAGATTTATAAGTAATTTTGATTTGCCTGTGACATGCTGTGGATTTTTTGACGTCTTCTCTCTCTCTCTCTCTCTCTCTCTCTCTCTCTCTCTATCTCATGTTGGGTGTGATGCCATTAAATTTCCTGACGAAGAATGCATGTTCAGAGACCTTTGCAGCACTAGTGGATGGCGGTTTTATTTTCTACAAGGCTAGGAGGTTCAAGGGGAGATATCCAATTAACTGACAGGCCTTGTCTGGCGAAGATCCAGATTGGATTTTTCTCGTATGTGTGCATATAGAATTTTTTTTCCAACTTTGTAATTATCCTCCTAAAATCCACGACTTTGCATTGCCTTCTCAATTTAACTTGGTCCTTTATGGAACAAGTTTGACATAAAATCCTTGAAAGGATCAGAGATATTCCATAATCATTTCTTTGGAATGAGAATTCCAATATTTTTCCATGTACGTGCAGTTTAAGAGGTGTTTCACAGTTTCCAATTCAGTATTCTTGAAGTCGTAAAGCTTAAGTTACCATTACCTTTTTGTCGTCTTCAGTTTCTGCATTACAGTAGTCATTTTTATTCCTAGAACTGCATAAACTCTAGAGTAAGCGTGGCTTTTTTCTGCTTAAAATTTCGCGCTATATTTTTTTATTAGTTAGTGCTTCCTTAATTCTAATGGATGTAGTTGATGACGACCATTTATATCATAAATTCACATCAGAAAATGCTATGTATTTATTGATCTATGTTTGAAGTGCAGGGGAGAATTGTTGAGATTTATGGGAAAGAGGCATCTGGTAAAACGACTCTTGCTCTTCATGTTATTAAGGAAGCCCAGAAACGTGGAGGTTCTTCATTACACTTAGATTTTTGATTATTCTAATTCATCTTATTCTGTCATTGCTATTTTTAAGGATTATTTGTTTCTGTTATTTGATTCTCAGTTAGACAATCGGATACGGTATGAGGATATTACAGTGGTTAGGGGCAATGATGTCTTTCGAGATAAACAAGACTAATTCGAAATAGTAACTGCAGGGCCATTGCAACCATTATTTTGTAGGCAAGATAATTGAGTGTTGCTAGTGATTTTATTTCTAAATATGTGCATGGAATTGATTTGGACAGTTTTCAAAGTATCCTTTACGAAACTTGGCTGGCAAGACACATAAGGCACCTGTTTGCTTCTGTTTGCGAGAGCGGCCATGTGTTAATCAAGTCTGAATAATTTTTTTACTACTGGTTAAGTATAATTAATTAACTAACATGAATAATTAATCACTTAACTTTATATATCGTATTAAAATTGGAGCAAAATCAGGTTATCTTTGTTGCCTGTTTTCTTTATTATAAAGAATGAAAAGAAGAGGGTGAGTATACCAGAAGCCCTAATATAGCTCTCATAGGATCATGTTTTAAATATCTTGTGGGCCTATTAGGTTTAATTTTCTATTTGGCTTGCTGTTTTAATATCAATTTGCTTTAACCTGTTACATTTGGTACAAATAGGCACTGCTCATGAACCAATAGATCAATAAAGAAATAGATGATCGAACTGTTGTCGAAATTTGGGTACTAGATGGATCAGAAGAAGGGTTTGGAGATAAAGTCAGAGCTGTGGAAGCTAGTAATGAAGTCTTAGCAGTAGAAACTGTCAATAAAGGCACAGTTGGAGACAACAGAGGTGGAGGCATAGTAGTGGAGGCCAAAGAAAAAGGGACCTACAATGAAGTCATAGTAGAAGTCAGAGTAGAAAAGTAATGGATAAAGAGCTTCCATACGATTTATTCTTTGCCTTGTTTCTTGTAGAAGGTCTTTTCTAACATTTTGGTTGCATGAGCCATGGTATCTTAGGGCCAACACATGTTACCTGACATGTTACCTGTCATTTGCATGTGCTGTGCAGTCCTAGCCACTTACGTATGACAAATGCCGAATTGTGTCACATTGTTGTGGTTGCCTGTGTTGACTTATGCTCTATGACTGAGACAGCAGGGTGGAATTAGCTCCACAAGATCTGTGCAAGTGGTAGCAGTAGTTAATGGTCATGATGGTAGCAGCGACGAGTGGGGGCCAAAAGGGCTGTACCACTTGAGTAGTCAAAGAAAAGCAGCAATGACTACTGTTCTTCTTGTAGGGCAAAGGATGACCAGTAGAGTGCCATTACCTGTGTAGGGCAATCGCAAGCAGAGGCAGCTGGAAGGAGTGTGCAGATAATGAATGTAAAACTAGTCACTGATGACTTGTGCTAGAGTTGCCACTATTTTCTTTCACACGCTCATAGATGACAAGGTTTGAAGGTGGCAGCAGTGACAGCAATACAATTAGAACGCCTTGAGAATCTTAGGAAACTGTAACCTTAAGCTAGGATACCACGTCAAAATGGGAATCGATTAGGTTAAATTCTTGGCTCTCTGCTTCCCTCGTTTTAAATGGAAAGAGAGTGGGCAGTATACTATAAGGCCTAATATGGTGCTAATAGGCCTACATTCTAAATGACGCATTAACAGACTAACACAAGGTTATATGAACTTGTTGAGTTTATTTTAAAATGGTCTTAATAACATATCAGTTATGAAACTTCATACGAATAATTGTTTTTAATTTCAATATTTCTCAATATATACCTACTTATCTTATTCATCTGTAAACTGATTAATTAATCAATTAATTACCTTTAGTCATTAGTAGTGGTCATTGATAGGTAGGCTATTGTTTCGGATGTGGATTAGTCCAGCTCACTAATTTAATTCTCTATTCTTCTAGTTGATTGTGGTTGGAATATTTAATGTTGCTTATATTAGAAAGGAGATCTATCATTTTGGTAAGAGAAATGATTTGATGGTTTTTAATTGTGTATTTCTCGTATGTATTTGATAGGGATTGATCTGACATTAATTTCAAATATGCTTTGTGAAGGAGAAACCTTTTGAATTTAGGACTACAATTTTGGACGATGTGCAGTGATGTTAGATGCTTACCTAACCTTTTACAATAATTTTGACTCTAGTAACGTAACCAAACCTTTGAGCCTTGCTCAATTGCAAGTTTGTTTACATTACAACAGAAACAACATCGAGCTTACAGATTCATGAGAGAAGAAGCTGCGAAAGTTCAGGGAGCTCATGTGGATTTCGCCAGAATCTCTTAAAAGCTTCTAATCGCCGAGTTAGGGTTTTAATGACGTGATTTTTTAGAGGTTTAAATAGATCTCCCATGCCAAGGGTCTTTTGTAGCCTGAGAAGCTCAACTAGCCATATAAAGGTTTCTCTTTTGATAGATGAAAACGTCTATATTTTGAGCTCTTTTAGCTTTTTATTTTATGCAAGGTAATTTTGGGAAATCCTCAGATGCTGCACTTGAGTTTTCCTTCTTTTAATTGTGCACACTTTAGTTCCGCTCTTCTCCATGTGTCAAGCTTTCCTATGGTTGCTAAGACATTCATCCCAGGGATCGACCCCTCTATAAATAGCTCATTAGTTTTTAGTGGAGGCTAACACTATCTCTCAGGTGCCAACACGTGTAAACTGGTTTCTGCCATTCATGAGTGCCGACACTTTCTTACAAGGTGTTGACACTCATGCACTTGCCTGTCACACGTTTACTAGAGTTGTTGACACATATTTCCTATAACTTAAGAATTTCATTATTTATCACATAAATAATCATAAACATTTCTTGTCACATCAATATATACAAGCTAATAACATTTTAATATGATGCCAAACACAACAATCTGTCCTATATAATCTTCAAAAAAATTGGCTCATCAAAAGCAACTTGGAATTTTAGCACAACTGAGAAATCCAGCAGGGTCATTATTCCCTTGTTGACGAAAATATGTTTATAAAGCAAGATTAATGTCTTTTGTATCTCAGGAAGCATTTCCAGAGCACTTGCAGCCATCTAAAATGCAATTCCTTATTCACTGAAGTTATTTTTATAATAATGGAATCCATCGATTCTGTGCATACTTTTTCAGGAGAGCAATGATCATTTCATTGTAACATGTAGAATTTGGATATTCTGTTTTAAGGTCATGCCAGTCAGTTCGAAGTACCGACTCATGTAGAATTTGGACACTTACCCTTTTTAAGGAGGCTGTTTCCTCAAGAGCCGATATATGTTTTACTTCTTATTTGTGTATCTTCTAATAATAGGTGTCTGTATTTTCAAATTTCTAAACTTAAATGGATTCTAGGTATAACTCTTCCAGAAAAGAGAGCTCTTTTTTTCATTTTCCGAAAAGCATAAACAGTAGTTTTTAGCAAATCACATTTACTCATTTGGAAAAAAAGGTAAACATTCACCGTTTCCTCAAACGTATGGGAAAGTTCCAATATCTATTCAGGTGAATGCTTTTATTAGTAATATATTTTCTTTATATGTTTTCCACAGATGAAGGTTAGAACTGGGTCTACTTTAGCTTTTGTGCTGTGACTGTCTCGTAATTTAGGGCCCTCCTGTTAGTGCTGTTTCAAAAATGCGTTTTAGTATTATTTGGTATACCAGAGGTTGCGCTTGATTCAGCTGTCATACTTGCTTGCTCTTCAAGAGTCACAGTTTTATGACTGTGCGTCTGTACTATATATTGCAGGATTTTGTGCATACTTGGACTTGGAGAATTCCTTAGATCCATCATTCGTTGAATCGGTTGGAGTTGACACTGAGGGACTTCTTTGTGCACGTCCAAGTTCAGCTGAAAATTCTCTGAGTGTTGTTAATACTCTGGTCAATAGTGGATCTATAGATGTCATTGTAGTTGACAGCGTATGATTCACTAACTGTGCCTAAATTTATAGGCTTTTCAGTAGTCTTTTTGAAAGTCTATGTTCAATTGTGACTTGATATTTTCCTTTTTTTTTCGTTAATGTTGTTTTAAAATTGACACCTGAATGTAAATTACATGTGATCACTCATGCATAAATTGCATTTTTTTGTTGGCATCTAATCAGAATAGAAATAAACCTGCATATCTACGATTGCGACCTATTTGCCTTCTCAGATTGTAACTATAACGTGGGGTTTATGTTTCTATATTTCTATTCTGTAGAGTATATTCTGGTGAAAGTTTCCTTCTTTTATGACAATTTTTCATGAAGCTTTGCAGCCCTTGATAATGGGAGCTGTTCTTCTCGTAGACTTTTATATGTGGCGCAACTGGACTCCTAAGAAAGGAGTTTGGGTCGCTCTACTACACTGCATGGATTCCAAAGGCTATACTACACTCCCTCAAGCTGAGCAGAGGACATACCACAATATCCACACTTCAACTCATAAAAAGATAACTTGTGATTATGGAATGGTCTAAAAATTCGTTTAGCATAGAATGGGCTAAAAATTAGAATGCAATTTAGTCTGAATACGTATACCTAATGTGGATCTATGTGATTAACGAGTGTTTTCATGGTGAAGACATGACGTAGCATATAATCCTTTTCTCAACCTCCAATTGTGGAGTCAAAGGGCCGTTCGCAAGAGAACTAGCAATGATCCAGAGAATTTCCCCTTCTGATTTAGAAATAAGACAATTTTTGATCTTGTAAATCTTGGAGGTGATCTGCTATTAAACTTTTAGAAATATGTTATAATGCAATTGAAGACAGATTTTTTCCCATTAATTTTCTGGCAATCTAATATTTATTAGCCTTCGGCTTGTCCATATATCACTGTGGAATCATCAGAAGGATGCGACTTAGCAGAGTTTATTTCTCTACATTTTGATAATGTTGATATCACAACTTTCTGCTGCCTTAGGATTCGAATAACGTTGATGGAAGCAAATGCCACTGAAACCCTATACAGTTGACAATTTCCTAATGCTTCTAGAAAAGCACATCATCCGCTTACAAATGGCCAAGATTTATTAGCACTCTTGATGCATCACACAGATCTCAACTCTATGTCAGACTGTGCATACACATCCCTCTTCTTTCTATATCTTATCTTGTTTTGAAATATCAAATATTCATAAATCATACATAAAGGCTGTTTTATATTTGAAGAGTCTTTAAATGAAAGCAAAAGACAATGTAATGTGTTTCCTAAAATTGTCAACTCACTGTCGAATATTGTGTGGTAGTTCAAACCTAGTTACAGATGGTTTAAATTGAAAGAGTAGCTGGTGTGAAGAATCCCGGCATTTTTTGTTGAATAGCTTATTGGTTTGTGATCAGTGTGTTAAGATTTATCATTATGATGATTGTTGTTGCTGTGCAAGATTGGTGCTCCAATCATTGGATAATTTATCAAGCATTAAATTGTTTCTGTTCCGCGATCTGCCGTAGATTAGTGTGTTACAAGTGGGTATTTTTACTGATAGGCTATTTTAAATGATGCAAAATAGATTTAATTTTATTAACATAAAGATGAAAAGTGTGATTTTGTGTTCTAATAATGCATATTGAACAGTGTTTTGATAAGAAAGAGGGGTTATATACAATGGTGCATAGGGTTGAGATAGCTTCAAAGTAGTTCACATATAAATGAAACGAGAAAAGACCTACCCTATTTTTTTCTCGTTTCATTTTTTTTAGATTCTGTTCTCATCATTTTTGATTTAAAGACTGGCTGTTTTTATTGCAGGTAGCTGCTCTCATTCCTCAACATGAACTTGAAAGAGTGATCGACCTCACATCCCAAGAAATGCAGTCAAGATTAATGACTCAAGCACTTCGTAAAATTTATCATTCACTGAGTCGATCTCAAACCCTTTTGATCCTTGTTAACCAGGTAGATACATAATCTCATATATTTTTTTGCACATCTAGATTCATTATAGACTGCTTTGTCTTTTATGTGAAAAAAAGAAGACATTTACTGTTTGATGATGGATCAAACATCATCCTCTATGATGTTCATTGTTTTTTTTCTCTGTAAATTGAGCTTTTAATTTACCTAAAGAAGTCCATTGCAACTCATAATTAATTGGGTGTTATTTCTTCCATGGCTGTCACAGTATACCATTTTTCTTTTCACGATTTATAGTTATAAAGCTAGGTTTACTCATCAGGTGGGATATGGACTATATTGTTCCAATAACCTTTAGGCATCCAGAGAAGATAGAGGAATGTATGCATATATAGTTGAAGAGTAATCCTCAAAAGAACCTACCCAAACCACGGAGCAGCTGATACAGGAACAAGATTGACACAGGGATCAATTACCCATGTCATTATCAATGAGAAAGAGAAGGCGCATGCTCTGTATGGAGATAGCATGAAGATTTTCATCCTGTCTTGAACATTATGTTTATCCCTCATAACAGATTCGAATTTCCCAGTTTTAAACTTACATGTCATTTTGTTGTTATTGAGAACATTACAGTCATTATGCATACCTAATTATTTGCGTTACTTTCAATATAAATGATAAATTGAGGCTCTGATAAGTGGAGACTGATGGCTATCTAAAGAATGTTCTTGTGTTGTAGCCTAGACTTCTACATAGAATAACGAGTTTCACCCAAACCCAGAAAAATCGTTTGTCTGTTATTGCCGCTATCTATTTCATGCTATTTTACCTTTGCTTTCATGTGTTCAGAGGTTTCCTTGTCTATTTCATTCCATTTTACAATACCTGAGCTTTCCTTTTCTAACCTGGTCTAAATTTGACATAGCGCGCCTGAAACTGATCTCGGCCAAGTGAATTTCTTCCCTTTGTGACATGTATCGAATGGTGAATTATCATATGTCAGATATTAGTGTCTGGTCCACTGCTAGTTGCCTGTCATTAAACCACTGCTTTTGCCCACACCTGCTTCCACAGCTGGCTGCCTGGCCATGCCAAATGGCACGCTCCCACAGCTAATGTTTCAGTGGACAGTGATGGCCTATAAACCTTAAAGAACCCATTTGAGCATTTGAGGGTAAATTTGACCTTAGTACAGCCTATTACAGTTGACTTAAGCTTGGGAGGGGCCTAGCCCGGAGGCCCCTATTCAGGGCCTATTTCGAGGCCCAGGCTGGTCTGGGCCTCCAAAATGAGTTTTGGGCTCAGACTTGCCTTGGCTAGGCCTGGCCCAGCCCAGCCTGTTGACAGCCCTACTCGTATTGCTCGTGAAATGTCTTTCATATTTTATTTTTTTGCTGCTACATTTGTCATGTGACTCAAGGGCACCCATGGCCTTTGTCTATCTTCCAACTAAGGATTTCCCTTTGTTTCCAGGTTAGGTCAAACTTAAAACAAGTCATTGGACATGTAGGAGAGGTAACATGTGGTGGGAATGCTGTGAAGTTTTACTCAGCAATACGGCTGAGAACTTCCAGGGTCGGTTTGTTTCAGACTGAAGATGAGGTCTGTTTCTACCGTAGATTAAGTACCTTTGTTTTTCTCCTTATTGTAAAATATATGGTTGCCAGTTGCTTGTTTGAAGTTATCTTATGCATCAGTTCTTGGGTTTATTACTTGGAACTTGATAAAGGCTAATATTACATTCCGTAATTTGAGATTAAATTTTATAATCAAATGGCTAAAGTTGCCTAGTCTGTAGTGGGTGTGCTGTTTTATCTATAATTAGAGTCAGTGTAGGATGGCCAGCTTTCTTGTATTATCTCCTACCTTATCATCCCCAAGTTCTTAAAAAGAAATGCTTTTGTCTTCTTTTTTTCATTTTTTATCTTGAAACATACCCAAATTCAATATCATTCTTATTTCTGATTTGAGATAATCGTTTTCTTTATTCGAATATAAAAATATGACAGTTTTCAAGTACATGGACATAAATTTTATGAATTAGTGAAAACTGTTGAAATTAAGGGTCCTGTTTTTTAAACCAATAAATTTAAGTAACGTCGAATATGTTGATTGATTTTAGAAGAAAAATGAAAAATCTCATTTTCATATTTATTGATTATTAAAAAATATTCAAAGAACGAAAACAATTCCTTTGAATCCTTTGAATGCCTCTCTCGAGGACTAGCTATCAAGAAAAAAATTAAACTGTTATTGCATCGAGGAAAGCTATTTCATCGGTAATTATTGCTTGAATTATATTCCGTTTTAATCATGATGCGTCAACACTTGAGCTCCTCCAAAAGATATTCATTTGAATGATGGTTCCTCAAATGATTAATTTCATAGAAAATTATGTTCGTGGCAAATTTGATGGATGCATCTAAGCTTTCTATGTGATTTTCTCCGTCAATCTCTCATGAAACAGCTAGTATTGTTGCCATCGTTAAGCCATCATATTAAAGTTTGCATCAAAACCCTAATCACATTGGACTCCCAATCTTTTCCACTTTCTGTATTTTTTTCTTCCAAGTGAAGAAGCATCTTCTACTTTGTTCTACTTTTTTGAAATCTTGTTTCAACTTGTCCCTTCATCCTATGCATTGATGAATCTCTTTTAGATCACTGGGGTCAATATATCTGTGCAAGTTATCAAAAATAAGCTTGCACCTGCCATGAGGAAGGCCGAGCTGTGCCTGGAATTCAGCAGGGGCATTCGTCATGAGGCAGAGATCTTGGAGATGGCCTCTCACTATGGCGTTATTTTGAGAGAGCGCAATGGTTACTGGATACAAGGAGAGTTTCTAAGAGACAAGGCGGAGGCTGAAAAATACATTGCCCAAAATAGTAATTTAGCTGATGAACTTGTTAGTACACTCAGAAGCCAGCTGTTTGAGCTGTGAAATCAAAAGATGGGGAGGATGGTCTGTTCTACCCACTTTGTTATTGCCCAACAGAAGATTTTTTCATATATATCTATGCCTATAATCCGCCAAGAGAGATGAGAAGAGGGATAAGCATCCAAAGAGAAATTTCTTTGTGTAGGATATTTATGCCTCTGATGGTCATTAAAGATCAAAATTTTGACTCCATTGATACATCTTGCAGAAAAAGAAGGCAGAAATAGAACTGCTCTTTTGGATTAAATTATTCATAATCTAAATTATTTGGCATCAAAAGTCACCAGTAAAGATATCCACTAAAAAATACATGTGATAAATTCAAGTTGATATAATTTATGTAAAGATTAAGAATCACTGGGTAACCTAGTTGATCTTGATTAATTTTATTTTATCAATTTTTAATATTATCTTGTTAGTCATTTAACATTTGTTGATTAACATATACTATTTATGTAAGAAATTAAAATGTGTCAAATAGTTCGTACTAATCTTTGACGAGTTTGTAAAAATGGAATCTGATGCAAAAAATACAAGAGATTATCAATTCACATTTGATGAATACTTATAAGACAATAACAAGAGCAAGTAACAGATGAGCATATTTTATTGCAGTTCACCCATGTAGCCTACTTAACTTTCAACATATATTTCATCTAGGTTTCATCACAAATGTATCAACTCACTTCCTTCATATACATGACTAGGTTCCCTCCTGAATTAAATCAACTATTTGAGATTCAATGATACTTCATTTTACTAGATTTTAAACTCAAAATATTTAGGTACTCTTGAGAGTGTAGGATTCAAGAGCATTAGTTATCATATTGATGATGACAAACACACATGATACACAAATTGATTGAATTATGTTGATTATTTATTATACATGAATCACATTGAATTATTTTTTTGGATGTGTATGAAATCAATTAAGTATAAATTCATGGTTAATGCATATTAATGATGTTAATGGTTTGAAGATATTTCAAGAATGTGTATGCTACTCATGTTTTGAATCCCGAAATTATGATGAATTTGTCAATTAAAATTATTATTTTGTTTCTTACTATTAGAAATATCAACCATTAAAATAATTATCACAAGCAAAAAATAAAGATTGATATATTCAATTTCATGCGAATGGTTGAACATACACTTAGATATTGATGGAGTAAAATTCAATTAGTGTACTAGATGCCCATGATTGAAATTATTACCTTTAATCATTCTTGAAGGAGAATTAATTGATTGAACATACACTATAAATGACCATTGAAAAAATTCTGAATATTGTTAAAAAATGATTTTGAGATATAATAAGTTGCTGAAGTGATGGTGTAATTTTTTTTATGCCTTCATATTCACACTTTATTCAGAAATGTATTTAAAATTCTATTTTATTGGAAGAAAATTCTTATTAGAGACACCAAAACTATTAGGTTCATATCTTTATAGGAGTATTGGTTTTTCACCATTGAATTTCTAACTAATTTTAGAATTTAAACATTGAGCAACAATAGAAAATAGAAGAAAGTTATAAATCAAATTTCTCTATAAATTTTGACTCTCTAAAATGGCTAATGCATTCTAAATTATTATATTTAATGTCCTTACTCTTTAGAATTTTTTGGTACCAATTTTGTATATATTTACATGTAAACTTCAGTGATCTTGGAAGCTTTGGCTAACGAAGTATAATATAATTCAAATGTAACCTACCTCAAACTAATTGTAGTTACGATGTGCTATCCAATTAGATAGCTTTATATCATAAAGAGAAGAACCAAAATCAGGTATAATTCATTTTCCTGTTGGTTTAGCCTCTAGACAAGATTCAAGCCTTCATCACTTTGAAAAATATCATGATGATATTTTTTGGTATTGTAAAAGATAAGCTTATGATTAAGTATTGATCATTCAAGAAAGTTGATTCCTATATCAGCTTTGGACCACCTAGAATCATGAATTTAAAAGATAATTCCTAAGTGAAATTTTATTAGAGTTGAACCTTGTAATTATCACTTGCTAGATAAAACTCAGTTTAGTGGAAAATATGTAGGTAGAGGACTGAATAACAATAAAAATGTTGGAGCATTAAAGGTTTATATTTGGAAAAACTATGAGATTTTTTTATCAAAAGAGAGAAAATTAGAATAGCGGAACAAAGCTAAACTAGGATAAAATATGTTCAATCCTATATTTTTTATTGAAGTACTAGGATAAAACTAGGATTATTAAATCTAACAAGTATTATCAGAATAAAATTTTTTATAGGAAAAAAATTCTTTTAGAGACTAGAATGGTCAGCACATCAAGAAACTACTTGGAAGGTGGTTTGGTCAAGAGAAACTGTCTATTCAAAGGATCAATTTCCTTTTAATGGAAAATTAAGATGGATACAATTGTTCAAGCTCTTAATTAATAGTTATGAGAAATAAATATGGAAGGTTCAATATAGAGGATGTATCACAGATGAATTGCCTTTTTTTGGAAAATGATTTTGATATGTGGACTAGATTCAAAATCATTTAATAAGATTTTGACCTGTGATAAGGTAACAGATTTGTTATAGATTGAAGCTAATTTGTAGAGGAATCATCTAAGTTTGAGAGACAAGAATTTATCAATTAGTTCATCTATGAATTATTTACCATGAATGAAAAGGAAAAAAATCCTGAAATATTTCGTAGTTTTATATAAATGATAGATAGTCTAAAAAATATCATAAAAACTTATTCATCATGACCAACATAAGAATTTCGATATCTAACTCCCTCATGTAGAGCAAAAGTGATAATCATTGACGAAAAAAAAATGTACAAAATTGTTTCTTGATGATTTATTAGGATCCTAATAATGTATGAGATTGAGGTCATAAAATCCACATAAAACGTAGAAAACCAAAAAAAAATCTATTGTTAAAAAATGTTTCAAAATTAGTGATGAGATTTAGAGGAAATCTATTGAGAATCCAAGAGATGAAGATTTAGAGGAAATATTTTTTATTACAAGGAGATTAAAAAGATTTCTAGTAGGTCGAAAACAAATTTACTGGAAAGCCTAAATTGTTTTTTGCTGCTGACACTAGTATAATCAAGAATGAGCTTAGTTGCTTTGAGTGAAGGAAACCAAGTCATATGAACATCAACTGCTTGAAGCTGAAAATCAATAAAAAATAAAAGAAGACAATGATGGTAATATAGAGTGATGAAGATGTTTCTTCATCATATTTAGAACATGGCAATAAAGCTAACATCTGATTTGTTGCTCAACAAATTGAGATAACTGAAATCTAAGTGATGATGATTGAACCATTGATAAATTGGATGAATTTATTGTTGATATAGTTAGTGTTCAGATAAACTTAAATTGTATTTGAAGAAATGGTAGAAAAATAATGATTCTTAAAAGAAAATTTTGAAATCTAATTCTGAAAAGATTGGAGTCAAAACTCTGTAAAAAAATCGAAAATTTTGAAAATCTAGTTAAAGAAGATATGGAACTTAAATCCTAGATAAATAGAATTAATGCCAAGAAACCTGCAACTGAAAATTTGAAGAACATGAAGTTGACCTAAAAAATAAAAAACCTTTTAATACAAATTAAATAAAAATTATAAATTATAAAAATTAATTGAAATAGAAGATTATCACAATAACATATAAGGAACTAGACATACTAAATTTTAATGAGGAAAGAGGAAGAAAATAGAAAATCACAAAAATTATACTAAATCAAAAAATAAATTGAAGTATAAAATTAATTAATTGATTATTATTAAATATTTTTTTTAATGAGTTTGGTATAAAATTAATTAATTGAATCTAAACAGCTCATTTTTTCACATTGAATTTTCTAGATATTAAGAATATAATTTTGAAAAAATATTTTTAGATAACCTAAATCATCAAAACCATGATTATAAGTATTAAGATCATGATTTAACATGTTGACTTGATGATTTTATTTTATTTGGGATGATTATAATAAAATTTTATTATTAAATTACCATTTTATCTAGATATATATTATTGGCCTTGTTTCAACGATATTGGATCCTTAGTGATCTTGATTGAACCAATACAAAAATTGATGTACAAATTGTGTTTTAATTGAACCACGTATTAGTTTCTAATCATATTTGAACCCATAAAGGGCACATCAACACAAAGTATGTTTGAATTTCTAGTTATTTATAAAAATATAATTATTGTGAGACAATGGAAAATGCATAAATAGGGCACCTTTCAATAGTTAGTTAGTAGTTGAATGACCATTCTTAATCCCTCAACAACTCAAGAGTAAGTATTAAAAATATAAAGGAAATCATGAAGCCTTCATTTGCTGGTCAAACTACATGAAAGTATTGAGTTGATGAGTATTATTTAACTATTTAATTACCATCCTCAACTAGATTGAAGGGACAACATCTTCCACTTTCAGTCATCATCCTTGGGTGAAGAGGACAAACAAAATTAAGCCTAAAGTTTTATCCTCTTATTGGAATTTTGGATGCACTCCAAGTCAGCATCATCTTCTAGAAGACAAGCCATGTTATATTTTTCATATTCTTTGTGAGATAAATGTGAGATTAAAAAATTATTTAATCACTTGTGGGAGCTGCCCAACACTTGTTGGCTTTGTGAAGCTTTGAATCTAGAAGACAATTTCAAGGTAAAATTTTAAAGGAGCAATACTTAGTAATCAATCAATAGTTGTGATCATGAAATTTGATCTTAGTGGAACCCAAAAATAGAGATTGATCATGAAAAATGAATGTAATATGAAGCTAAACTATGTAAAAATATTATTAATGTAGTTTAAATACACATAAATGAGGGGATTAGGGTATGATTAGATTGTAATAGAGGGTAGAAAAAGGTTAAGCTAAGTCAAATATTAAAGTTGATTTAGTGCGACCCAAAATTTGACAAGTGGTATCAATGTTTACCTCTATACATAGGAAATAAATTTCTTTGAGCAGATCCTATGTTCAGTGC